CTACTGCACTTGTCCAATTCCTCTTGCATTTGAGAAAGGAAGGGTTCTTTGGAGGTAGCACAGAGTGTAGCATCCTCAATGAAAAAGCAAATGTTATGGTGTTGTTTTAAGAGAGATAATATTAGGATATCGAATTGCTTCAGCTAGGAGTTCAAGAGACATGGCAAAGAGGCAGGGAAATAGCAGGCACCCCTATTAAGTTTCCCAGTGAAGCAAGAAGTCTGCTGTTCAAAAGTTATTAACTTTCATACATGCCTTCAGGCTGCTACGAAGTGCTTTGATTTGATCACCAGGAAAGCTCTCAGTATACAGTTGATACTTCTCAGTGTCTCGGAAAGAAACGGCTCCTCCAGGTGGTCAAAGAAATCTGAGCCTCAAGTGACTATAATGTGAGCGGCATGGATTTGATTCTGCAATACTGAAATGATGTTTAAAGTACACTTTTGATGTTGTTAAAGGTTTTCCTTAATGTTATAAAGCTTGATGGATCTACATTTATATATTTCTTGAGGATAAGATTAATCATGCCTGCCGGCAAGGAGGAATCTTTCCGTCTTGGTTCAACAGGGAAATGTGCTGTGAAGAGCAATTCGTAGGATTCCTTCCTGCTTTGAGAATGACCGCTATCTGTGCCTCTTGCCTTGTTGCCAGGATTTTGTTCTGATCTACAACACCATTAATGAGTTAAGGGGGTTACACTTTTGGTGCTCAGTTGCCTATAGAACTCTGCTGCGACGTCATCTCTTCCAGGACTTTTTAAAAAAATGTTTTCATGAGTACTTCCTTCTCTCTGGTTTTTTTAAGCCTGCAAGTCCCTGTGTTCTTTAGATGTTAAGGTTTTTTTTAAAAAAAATTGCTCTATTTTATCTCTGCAAGGTTTATCAGAGGAGTATAGTGTATCACCATCAATTAATACATATAATTCTCAACATGGGCAAATCTGTGGATACTTAAAATGCAGAGAGGTTGGGGCCATGAACAAACAACAGATTTTTCTACGAAGCTGAAAAAGCTACAGGTTTGCAGAAAAAACGGATGTCTTAAAATACATGTGGGGGGGTTGCATTAAAATACCCCAAAACAATTAACACCTGCACCTTTAAGAAACAAATACCCTCTCAGCTGCCATTACGGGGGTTACTAGGCAACCACAACAATTTTGCCAGCATTCAAGCACTGGTTTCTCTCACTGAAAGGCAGGGAAAGGCTATTTTGGCCTTTGAGGGAAGACTCATTAGGGCTAGACCTGGCTGCTCACTATTCAACAGCAGTTAGCACAAGAAAACCATTGCAGAATAGTGGTTAGTGTTTCAGACTAGGATTTGAGAGACCCAGGTTTGAAACCCCCTATGCCAAGGAAACTCTGCAGGGGTGATCTTGGGCTAGATACACATTTTCAGCATAACCTACTTCACACCATTGTTATGAGAATAAAATGGAGGAGAGGAGAATGATGTCAGCTGCTGTATCCATTGTAGAGAAAGGCAGGGTAAAAATGAAGTAAAGAAACAATATAGCTGGAAATGGGGACAGACATAGGTTGGTTGGGAGGTGGGATTGGGATCAAGGAAAGGTGAAAATATGGGGGTTGCCAGGAGAAGCAAAACAGGACATAGCTGGGGAGGGGGATACAGAGTGACTCCTGCAAGTCCTTGTCCATCCCCCCGTCCCCCCGTCTTCTTGGAATAGTGGAATTGGAAAGGTTCTGAAATACTGGCATACTTGGGAAAATATTTATTGTCATTTAGAGAGCTCCTGCTTTTAGGCTATGAAACAGCATAACCCAAATAGATGAGTGGCCTTTGGTCTAACTTTGTCCATTACCCATTTCAGATAGTCCATTGATTTTCATCTGTGTCTCTTATTTCTCATCTCTTTCCTTTCTATTCCCAATTGTTTATGTGTCTTTTTGGAGCAATTAATTTTATGCAGTTTTTCAAGTTTCCATAATCATTCCTCAAATTACTTTCTATTATCTCTTTACCAGATTAGGTTGCCTTTTGCTTTCATGTGTCTCTGGCAGCATCATTAGATTTATTTATTTTTTTAAAGAAGGGAATTAAAATGTTGGAAAAGATGTGGCCTTATTGGTTCGTATAAACATTGCTGGTGGGACCGCATATACATTCAGAATTTTTGGCAGGAGATTCACATTCATATTAAAATAATCACAACCACAGACCTTCCTTTCACCACCGATGCTATTTTATTACACTATTGGCCAAGTGTACCTTTGAGTAGTGTGACCAGAGAGTTGATTGCAATTTTGCATTCTACTGCATCAATGGTAATTTCATCTAAATGGAAGGACCCAACTCCTCCATCAATTTCTCTATGGCATGACAGGCTTTGGGAACAATTTATAATGGCTAAATTGCGGTACTCAATGCTACCTGCAGAATCCCCACAATTCCAAGCAAAATTTGTAGCTACTTGGTACCCAGTTTTAAATTATTTGGCAGACTATAGTATTGTTCCAGTTAATTCACTATATAAACAAATGCTTATATTTTTACTATTAAAAGTTAGATCTAGTTTCATAACTTCTCTTATTAGTATACAGTCTGAACAATAAGTTATATAAACAATGTGGCTGGATATTCGTTTATGATGGTGTTAGATTGTTGATCTAGTTGGCTAGTTTATTTCACTTTTGTTTACATTGTTTTACAGTTGCGGTTTGTTGTTTGTTGTTTATACTGTTAATTATAATAATATTTTTTTAAAATAAGGGAATTAAATACTCCTTTCCTTTCAATAGCTTGATTCAGGCCCCTGATATTGTCAAGCTTAAAAGACTTATTATTGAAAATTAACTATCTGCAGTAATTCTTGTTCGTTCTATTCAATTTCTCTCAGTTTATGATGGCCCTGGGGTAAAACCATTTCCCTTCCCTCTGAGTTCCCCTTTGATTTCTCCTCTCCTCCCACCAAACAGACCCAGACCAGGTGAAATCAAACCACAAGCAAGGCTCAAGGGTTTCTCTCTTCGGCCTAAGAGGGACAGAGGATTTGAATATCTCCATGTTTTCTCTCCATCAATCAAAGCTGGGTTAATTGGGGTAGTTCAGACAGCATGCCTTTTTATATCATAGACTGTGAAATGATGTGCCTGAAGGTTTTTAGATGAAGGTACGTGCCATGTTTTTGATATACAAGCATTTCCTGCTTTCCCACTTTCTTGATTTTCATATCCCCCCCCCCCTTTCATGTGACAATGTTGGTAATTCTCTCCTTGCCGTCTTTGTGACTGGGACAGATCATCCAGGGATCATATCTTAGATTAAGTCCTCGATCACTACCCTCACACACATTATTAAATCATTTTTCCTGTTGTGATTAAGCAGGAACTTGACATGGAAACCCCATTTGAATCGTATCTCTCCATTTCTGATGTTTTCTGTAACTGATCTCATTTGCTATGTATTAGAAGAGACCTACTGAAAGAGTGCTGTTTCAAACAAGTGAATTTTCCTAGCTTCAGATATAACTTTTCTTTTTTTGTTGATGCGCAGTGTAAATTATGTCTCAACGTCCAATTCTTTGTTTCTCTGAGTTCCCCAGCAGCATAATGACAGAATCCACTCCCTCTTCTACTGGTCTTCTTATTAGGAAGTTTCCAGGGTCAGGCCCTTCCGTATTTTCAGGAAACACTCTGAACAGTAAGACATTCCTGCCCTTCTCTTTAAAAATAAAGTCTTAATTGTTCTTAGAGAATTATTGAGCCCATATTTCTTGTAATGTAAGCCAGAAGTCATAGCTGTACTGGCAGTGGAGGAAGCTTCCTTAAGTGGGCTTTTAGTTTCAAATTTTTATTATCTGTACATGGTCTGCACAGTCAGCTCTCCAAAAGTAACTGATTCTGCAGGGCCACAACTCCAAAGGCCCCAATCCAAGTTCTACTCAATCCCACCTTTGAATGGAAGAGACTTTGCACTGCAGGCAGTAAGAGACTTTGGGGTTAATAAATTCTGGAGGCCAGCTAAACAGGGATGGGAAAGGGCCTAGAAAAAGATTATCAGAGTTGCAGGAAGCAGAAAAAGAATAGCAGAAACGTGAGGGGCTGGGAGCAAAAAAGGGGGAAATATTTTCCCCCAAGGATCCCACCCCCACTTTTCCAGCAGAAAAAAAAAGGCTAAAATTTGGGAGCACTGAAAAGAAACTCCTGTGAATATTTTCATTTTTGGAAAGGCATCTTAAGACAAGGGTTTTCTCAGTCAAAATGTACAGCATGTAAAAGTCTGAGGACTTTTTAAATATGTCCAATGAAAAAACTGGGAATTTTGGGGGAGCACTGAAAAAAATTGCTATGAAAGTTTCCCACTTTTTGAAATAAGCAAAATGTTTTTAAAGCAAGGTTTCACTCAAAATATGTACTATGAAAAGTTGTATATAAAATTTTATATAAAATAGGTTACAGCTTTAGATAATAATTATATATATTCATATACCTATATTGTATCTTAAAGAATATATCTGCTGTTTAAATGTGAATAATTTGGGCAACAATATGCTATAATGTGTTTAATAATAATACATAATTAAAAAGCCCAGTGTTTGCAATATTACAAAGTTTCTTAATATCCAAATAGGCTACAGTCCTACATAGTGTGGCTGAATGAATGTGTTGGTGTCCAAATAGACTCTCTTTTGTTCACTACAGAATTCTTCTACCTCCAATTTTTATTTTTTTCGCACCTCTCAGATGGCAAAACATAAGAAAGAGGTGCTAAGGCAGCAGAGGGTGCAGAGTCTGAAACACTTAAACACTGGGTATATTTGCAATTTCATATATTTAGATTCCATAAATGTACCAAATAATACAATTTTATATGCTAAGCTATAAACGATGCGTTTTATGTTACTAAAAGAGTTAAAGAAGTTTAGCTTTGGTAGGAAAGAAAGTATTGAATATATTTCAATTTTTCCTGAAATTTCTATCCACCCCCACCCCCCCCCCACCCACAACACACACTGTCTGCACTGCTAGCACTGTGCGTTGAAAACAACATGGTTGTAGAATTCCTGCCAAACAACTCTTAGCTGAATCCCTTTCCCCATCTCTGCTCAAGAGCTGCGTTTCAAAATATCAAGACATAATTTCAGGGCTTAACCTAAAAGTCATGCTGGGCTAAGAGATGCAGTGAAGCAAAGTAAAAGCACTTGAAAAGCAGCAAGGAAATAAAATTCCACTAAGCAGCAATAACAGACAAGGTCAAAAAGGCGATTTAAAAACTCCTGGAGGAAAATGTACAGCCCTTAGCAATTGCTCGGGATTGTTTATTGCCATACCTCAAGACTTTCCCCAAAGAAATGCCCAGGAGTTAGAAAGTGACCTACATAAATCCTTTATCAATATATTCCAATTTAATGTACAGTTTGCCTCCAAAAAACTTGCTGTCTCCACCACGATGCCAAAGCTCAGGGTCATGATACGAGAAAGCAAAGATGCTCGGTTGGTGCCAGCCAGCCAGACGCCCTTCCCTACAGACAGCAGACATTCAAAAGAAGCTATTTACATTCAGATTGGGTAACCGCTACTTTAAAATCCTTTCACAGTGACTGGAGCTAAGCTGATAACCACCGCTTATCAGCCATGTTAGAAACTGTCCCTGTTTAAAAGCCTTCCAAGTTTACAACTGCAGAGAGACGATCCTGACCTCCCAGAAGCACCAGCTGGGATGAGAAAGAAATAAGGAAAGGCCCCGCCCTGCATCAGAGGCCAGGGAGAGTCCTGTTGTGACACGACAAGGATATCGAGACTAAAATAACTGCAAGCACAGGTAATGCCATGAAGGCAGAGAGACAGTGAATGCCTCTCATCCCGAGAGCTTAATGCAGGCCGTGGTCAAGCAACTACCTCGGTTCTTCTCCCAAATGTCCTTCATTTGGGTCCCCTTCTCGCTACACAAATGCTTTGATCGCAGCCAAGGGCCGCTACACCTGACGCCCTCTTCCACCATCTCACCCTTCTAGAGTGACTTCAGAACAAGAGAACTATAGGCGGCAAATTCGTACAGGCAACACGGAGTCTCTGCAAAGTGGGGGAAGTCTGCACAGGGGTTGGCAGGAAGAGTAGTCAAACATACACATGCCGCACTGTCTTTCAGCTTCGGCCCTTTGTAAAAGCGGCCTGTACGACTGGGACCGGGTGACTGATGCACATGAGGGATGGAGCGCCTCGCCTGTTCTAGGGGCAATGCAAAGATTTCAGTGTGATGGTGTCAGCTAGGTCTCCCACCATCAGCAAAGACCTTCAGTGCCGTCAATACTATCTAGAACCAGAATCCACAGAAAGCTGTGGCGAAAGAACTCACGTCACTCCACTAGCTGCTGTATGGCAGATTCTCCCAGAAGCAAACATCTGCAAAGGTGGAGGTACTGGTCCAGACTAGGGATTGACTCAGAGCAGCGGCTATCAAGTTGAAACCTACAGCCTTCTGGTTCTTGCACATCTCCTGGAAAGGGGCAGGGGGGGGGGGAGATCTCCAACCTAGAGTTCATCCTACAGGGATGGAACTTGAAGAGAATCCAGTAAGGTGGCTGGGGCCTGTTACAGACCAATAACAATAAACTAACAATAAAACAGACCATCAAGGAATCTCAAAAGCAAAGCAATGCAAAGTAAAGGTCTGTCTATTGTGTACATCTGCTTTCACTATTTCAAGCATTAAAACCTGTGAGATAACTAAAGCGATGGGCATGTGAGGCAGAGAGAAGATGACAGAAAAAGCCACAAGAAAACTGCCACGCAAGCCACAGGTTCGCCTCCTCCCATCTGCGGTCTCATGATCACTTGCTCCTCCCAACCAGTACATCCCAGCTGTGTTTTCTCTCCAGCTAAAAAAAATAATGTATTTCAGCTTCCCATTACATTCTAAACACCTCTCTCGCATAGTATGAGCTACGTTCTGAAGCACTGCTGGACTAACCAGATCTCAGTGAACCGTCTTAGTCCTAACAGTGGCCTCTGGAAAAAGGGACAAGCAGCCGGCTCTTGTCCCCCGGCTAGCCACTGGAAGGGGGGTGGATGCCAGTAGTCCACTGGATAGTCAGGGTTTTCCAGCCGTTGATTTTCTAGTATCTGTGCAGGGCATGAGGACCCACCTGCAACAGTGACTGAAGTGACCCAAGAAACGATGCTCCCAACTGCCCTAACTCATGAGGAGGCCCCTCCGCATATTCCGTCACTTCCTCCACGAAGAGTCCTGGAGCCCCTCAGCCCTGTGTCGCGGGTGCACGTGTGCGTTTCAGAACTCATTCGGCGGCCCCACATCGCAGCGCTTCTCCGTCCCACGCCAGGTCCTTCTCCGCCAGCATTCTGCTTGGCTGAATCTGAAAGGAAGAGACAACTTTGTAGAGGACAACGTCTGCCGCTTTGATGGCCCCTGATGAGGGCAGAAAGGAAGCGTGTGTAAGTTTTGCAAATAAGTTTTGTTTTGTTTTTTAAATGCTGACAAGACACATTCCAGCTCATGGTGCCAGCTACCCTTCAACTGCCAAGAACAGTCAATAAGAAAGGCAAGGAGAGGGGAGGCGGCATGCAGGGCCGATGCCAAGCGCCACCAACTCACTGGAGCAGCAGCAGCAAACGGGTGGAACAGATAACTCCTCAAGCTGACCGTCCAGGACTTGGAGATAAACTTAGGGTCAGAAGCCATCCCTTCACAAAGTCAACAGGCACCTGAGCTGGGCACTAGCAGGAGAGGCTTCATGGCTCAGAGGCTGAGATGTGATCTGAGTAGATCTTTAGCCGTTGTAGATTTTCCGGGTTGTAGGACCTGACGTTTCGCTGTGACTGGCATCCTCAGAGGTATACACAGAGAGTAATAATAATATACTTTATTGTCATTGTACATAGTACAACGAAATTAAGATGCAATCATTCGGTGATCTACAACCATACTCATATACACTCACACAACCATTCACAACCATCCCATAACTCCCTTAAGGTTCACATTGCAACTTAAACCACCAATGTCACCCAAATTCCAATTCATACAGCATTTAAAGCAATAATAGCTCTCGAATAAAAACTGTTTTTTAATCTGTTTGTCCTTGTTTTAATTGTCCTATATCTTCTACCCGAAGGCAGCAGTTCAAACAGGGAGTGTTCAGGGTGTGACAAGTCCTGCAAAATGTTCTTTGCTTTTTTCAAGCATCGAGAACTATACAATTCCTCCATGAATGGGAGAGGACAGCCAATAATCTTCTGGGCTGTGATGATAACTCTCTGGAGTGCTTTCCTATCCACAGCCGTACAACTGGCAAACCAGGCACAGACACAGTATGTTAAAATGCTCTCTATTGAGCAACGATAGAAAGACGATGGTACTCCGTCTTTCTGTGCTATACCTCTGAGGATGCCGGTCACAGCTACTGGCGAAACGTCAGGCCCTGCAATGCCAAGACCACGGCCACACAACCCGGAAAATCTACAACAGCTAATGAACTCCGGCCGTGAAAGCCTTCGACAACATATTGAGTAGATCTTTGTTCAAATTCACCTCTTACCACAAACACCCCTCTGGCTTTATACAAGGCACTGTTTCCATCTGGCGTTGGGCGAGGCAACGCTTCCATCTGCCTGAGCTCCCCCATCTGCAAGGAGGCCTTCACTCTTCTGGAAAGGTGTTCAGATAACCTTCTTCTCTTTGGCATGTCTTCCCTGATTGTTTTGAGTAACCTGCACTGCTGGGTTTATAAGCCATTACCAGTTTCCCTGTCTGCTTTCTTTTTTTCTTTTTTCTTTTTTTTGGTAAACAAATTTTATTTTCTCAGGAATACAACATATAAAACATTTCATTCTATCAATTGTCTACCCCATTCCCAGTTCCTCCCCTCCCTCCAATGGCTTCCCACAATGCTTCCACCCCTGCTCCAAATTACTTCATATCATCAACAATATCAGTTTTTCATCATTACAATCTAAAGATAACATCGTTTGACTTAATATTGATCTAAACATATTAAGTTTTGTTTCACATCCCAGTTCTTTTCCAGATAAATTTTAAAATCATTCCATTCTCCAAAAAACTCATCGTCTTCTTTGTTATTCAGTTTTTTTGTAATCTTATCCATTTGTGCCATGAACAGAACTTTTTGTATCCATTCTTCAACCTCTGGTACCTTTTCTATCTTCCAAAACTGAGCATAAATCATTCTCGCTGTCACTATCAGGTACCAGAGTAAAGTTTTTTTAGTCGTATTGACTTCTTCCATTTTGAGTCCCAAAAGCAGAATTTCCGGTGCTTTTTTAAAAGAACATTTCAGTATTTTTTGCATTTCATTGTGGACTTTTGTCCAAAAGTCTACAGCTTTCTCACAAGTCCACCACATATGATAAAATGAGCCCTCATGCCTCTTACATTTCCAACATTTGTTTGACATATTTTGATTCATATTTGCAATCTTCTTAGGTGTCATGTACCACCTATACATCATCTTATAACAATTTTCTTTAACATTAGTACATGTCGAGATCTTAATAGAGTTTTTCCACAAATATTCCCAAGTTTCCATATCCACTTCCTTATTCATATTAATAGCCCATTTTAACATTTGTTCTTTAACAGTTTCATCTTCAGTATACCATTTTAACAACACCTTATACATTTTAGAAATATTTTTTCCTCCTCCACTCTCCCATACCTTTTCAATTTCATTTTTTTCCTCTCTAAAACCATAGTTTTTTTTGTCAGATCTAAAAAGATCATAAATCTGCATATATTTCAACCACTCATATTCATATTCAATTTCATTCTGCTTTTTCATTACCCACTCTGTTCCCTCTTTTTTAATTAAATCTCTATATGGCAACCAGTCTCTACCTCGCTGTCTTGAGTAAGATATCAACACTTCTACTGGTACAATCCACAATGGTCTTAAGTCACTCTGGTACTTCTTATATCTTGTCCATACCATATACAAAGCTTTTCTCACCAAGTGAAGTTTAAAAAAACTGTCCATTTTTATCTTGTCATACCATAAATATGCATGCCAGCCAAATCTACAATCATGCCCTTCCAACCCCAACAATCTGTCATTTTCAAGCTTCACCCATTGATCCATCCATGTTAGACAAACCGCTTCATAATATAGTCTAAGATTTGGCATTTGTAGACCTCCTCTTTCTTTGGCATCACAAAGTATTTTCATTTTGATCCTTGGTTTCTTGCCTGCCCAAACAAATTTTGACAACTCTTGTTGCCACTTGGCCAACAAATCCGTTTTATGCAGAATTGGTATTGTTTGGAACAGGAACATCAAACGTGGTAGGACATTCATTTTTATAACTGATATTCTTCCCATCAGTGATAAGTTCATTTTATCCCATTTCTTAAAATCTTGAGTCAGCTTAGTCCATAATTTCTCATAATTATTCTTATATAGGTCTATATTTTTTGCCGTTAATTCAATTCCAAGGTATTTTGTTTTTTTAACTACTTCACATTGTACCAGTTCTTGTAGTTCCACTTGTTTTTGTTTGATCATGTTTTTACATATAAGTTTTGTTTTATTCTTATTTACGTAAAAGCCGGCCAATTCTCCAAACTCCTTTATTTTTTGAAAAAGCAATGTCAATTTTTCTGTTGGGTTTTCCACCATAAACATTACATCGTCTGCAAATGCTCGATATTTGTATTGGTGTCCTTTATGTGTCAAGCCCTTTATTTCTTGATCGTACTGTATTTTTTGTAAAAGTATTTCCAATACCCAGATAAATAATAACGGTGATAACGGACAACCTTGCCTTGTTCCTTTCTGTACTTTGAAGTTATCTGTCAGTTCTTTATTCACATTTATTTTAGCTCTTTGTTCAGAATAGATAGCTTCAATACAATTTCTAAAATGTTGTCCCGCTTCAATCTTTTCCATCATCTGGTGCATAAAATTCCAATTAAGATTGTCAAAAGCTTTTTCTGCATCAACAAACAGAAAAGCTACTTCTTTTTCTGGGTGCTTTTCATAATATTCAATTGCGTCCATTACTATTCTTACATTGTCTCTAATCTGCCTTTTGGGTAAAAAGCCCGCTTGATCTTCAGAAATTACCGTTTGTAAATAGTTTTTCACCCTTTCTGCAATAATTTTTGCAAAGATTTTATAATCGTTGTTCAAAAGAGATATTGGCCTGTAGTTCTTTACATTTGTTGAATCTTGTCCTTCCTTTGGAATCAAAGAAATAATTGCTTCTTTCCATGAGTCCGGCACCTTTTTGTTTTCTCTTATTTCGTTGGTTAAAGCTTCCAGGACCGGGGAAATTTCTTCTTTCATCTTTTTGTAGAATTTCGCTGTAAATCCGTCCGGCCCAGGCGCCTTCCCCAACTTTGTCTCTTCTATTGCCTTCATCACTTCTTCTTTTTGAATTGGACCATTTAATAAATCTTTGTATTCCTTACTTATTTTTGGTAGTGGAATCTCCTTTAAATATGTTTTAATCTTCTCAAGATCAACTCTAGTTGTTTGGAATAGTTTAGCATAATACTTGAAGAAACATCTCTTTATTCCATTAGGATCAACGAACTCTTTTCCATCTTCTATTATTTTGGTTATCATTCTTCTCTCTCTTCTAGCCTTAAGTTGCCAAGCTAAGTATTTTCCCGGTTTGTTCGCCCCTTCAAAAGATTTCTGTTGTAACTTCTTTAAATTCCAATACATTTCCTGATTCCAAGTCTCATTCAGTTGTTCCTTCAGCAACTTTAATTCTTTAATAATTTGCTTTTTTCCAGGCTTCTTTTTTAATTCCTTTTCTTTCTGAGCAATTTTTTCTAACACTTCTGTTTGTTTTTGAAGTTTTTCCTTTTTTTGCTTCACGTTTTGCGAGATGAGAATTCCTCTCATCACCGCTTTATAAGCATCCCATACAATCTGTATCGGTGTTTCTTTATTTAAATTTTGTTGAAAGAATTGTTTCGTTTCTTCCTTTAACATCTCAATTACCGTTTTCTTATCCAACAAGTCTTCATTAATCCTCCACAGAAAGGGTTTTTTCCTTTCTGTGGAACTCCATACCACCGGATTGTGATCTGAATTACATCTTGGCAAAATTTCAGTCTTATGTGTTTTCATTGATAATTCTTCAGACATCCAAATCATATCAATTCTGGAAAAAGAGCAATGTCTATTGGAATAAAAAGTAAAGTCTTTCTGCATCGGGTTCCATTTCCTCCAAACATCTTCTAATTTTTCTTGCTTAACTAATTCAAAAAAATTCTTTGGCAATTTTCCGCTGAATTCGTTGTCCTTTTGTGGTTTTCTGTCTAGACGATCTATTGTCCCATTAAAGTCTCCGGCCATAATAACTTGCTCATAAGTCAATTGTTGTAATTGGTCAGTTATATCCTTAAAAAATTTTTCCTTTGCTCCATTGGGTGCGTACACGTTGATCAACAATGTTTTTTTCTGCTGAATCATTAATTCCACACCCACGTATCTGCCATCTATGTCCTTAAAAATTTCTGTAGGTTGTAACTCCTTCTTCACATATGTCACAACTCCTTTTTTCTTGTTTGAGGCCGCAGAACAAAATTCAATTCCAAATAAAGCATTCTTTAAATATTTTATATCCTGTTTTCTAATATGTGTTTCTTGCAAGCATATCACGTTGCATTTCTGTTTCTGTATCCAATGATTGATTCTTTTCCTCTTGTTTGGTGAATTTAATCCATTAACATTCCATGACAACAATTTGTACTCCATTATGCGTTTTATTTTAAAGTTCTCCAAAGACGTCCGCATTGTCCGCCTTAAATTTATAAAAGTCCATCATCGATCTGATCTGAATCCTCCCACCTTGATACGTAAAGGATAAACCTTGTGGAATCTCCCATCTATATCTGATGCTCAAAGCTCTGAGTTTGTCCGCCAAGGATTTATACCTTTTCCTGTCTTGCAGTATTGTTCTTGGGAGTTCTCTCATCACCATAATTTTGTTTCCCTCTATTACAAAAGGGACGTTGAATTGCTTCTTGAATATCTCCTCTGTTATTGATCTTGTTACAAATTGTACAATTACATCCCTTGGTAAATTCTTCTTTTCTGCAATTCTGGAGTTCACTCTATAAATCAAATCAAAGTCTGAGTCCATTGACCCTTCCTCCTCGCCCAGAAAAGCCGTTATCACTTCCATCATTTTTTCTTTTAAGTTCTCATTCTCTGTTTCCTTAATGCCTCTGAATCTCAGATGAGTCTGCATCCTTCTGAACTCCATCATTGTCTCTGATCTTGTAATTTGTTGAGTCAAAGAATCTTGTTTCTCTTCTATTTTTTGTATCTTCTCCTCTGTCTCTGTAGTCTTGGTTGCATTTGCTTGAACATCCTTCTTAACTCCTTCCATTTCTTGCTTGATTGAAGTTATTTCTGTAGTAACCAATTCCTTCAATGCTGTTATGTTCTTCTCTTGGACTTCTTCTAGATGTTTCAGATGAATCTGAGTTTGCTTCTCCAGTTGGTCCCCCAATGTTTTTTCTATCTGCTCCCCCATGGCTTGTATTGCCTCTGTCATTCTCTTCTCCATTGCTTCCATGGAGGCTTGCATCTCTTTTTTCTCTCTTTCTCTTGACATTTTGGGGGTTGAAGTAGATCCAATCCTAGGTCTCACAACCGGTTTAAGTTCTGGGTCTGAGTCGGCTCTTTTCTTGCCTCTCCTGGTCTCCGTCTTGGCGATTTCTTTCCAATTCACAGATTCGCAAAATAAAGCACTCTTCTAGATGATAAGATTTAGTCCTCCATGCCTCTCTGTTTACGCTTTCCAAAGACCCTTAGAAATATATTAAAAAAGCAAATTTAGTTGAAGTCCTCCTCAAAATGTCGGGCGCAACTTCTCTATGGTAATTTCATGTAGAGTAGGTCAAATTGATACTTTGCAGGCCCTTCCTTCCGCATACAACTCACTTCCGGTCCGGCACCTTTAAAAGTTCCACTGTCTTCCTTTCGCTAATGCCCGTCTAGGAATTCAACTTCCTGGATGTTTCACACGGACCTCTTTCTTTGTGACACCAGCCTGCTCTTCCCACGCTATTGTTCGTGAGTTTCGATTTTACAGTTGCGCACACGGCTCCATCTTCACCACAGGAATGTTAAACAATAAGCGTTTTTACAGTTTTTAAAGGCTTCAATCAACTTTTTTCTCTCCGGAATCGGATTTCTGGGATTTACTATTCATTTTCCGCTCAACCGCTTAATTCAAATTGACTCCAAACTCAGTTCAGGTAAGCGGCACGTTTTTGTTATCTAGCACGTTCAAAACGGGTTTCGCATTGTTTCTTTTAACTCACAGTTGTTGTCCTTCTTCAAAGAGGTCGGCTGACGAAGAATTTATGCCGGTAATCCGGCTCGATCGGCCACTATAGAGTTGCTTGGCACTTGCCTTCTTCGTGGGAGGAGGTCAAAGCCCAATTCAGCTTCTTCCGAAGCTGGATTACGCCAACCTCACACTCCCTCTAGGGCGCTGCTGCCTGCTTGTCCCCCCCCCTCGCTGGGGAGTGATGCGTTGGGCTGTGTATTGCCCAAACTGTCAAAAGTGGCCGTCGCTCGCTTCGCACGATCGCGAAACGCTTCAGTCCTCCATCTTAGCCAGACCGGAAGCCCCCCCTGTCTGCTTTCTTAATTGCTCCTTGTATTGATGTTATGCTGGCTTCTTTTCTGACTTGAGTCTTTTTAGTTCTGTCAGTTATGTCTTCTAATTAAAGAAGAGCCAGTGTGGAGCAATGCTTGAAGGGCCGGATTCAGCCATGAAGCTTTCTAGCGACCGTCAGCCGGTCACTCCCTCTCAGCAGAACCGACCCCAAAGCAGAAAAAAGAACAGAGAAAAAAGATCAGACATGCTGCCCCAAGCATAAAAAAGCAGTTGGGGGGGGGGGGGGGAAAAAGAAGAGATTGGATTTATACCCCCAGGTGGGGGGGGGGGGGAGAAGAAGAAGAGATTGGATTTATACCCCATGGCCCTTCACTACCCAAAGAAGTCTCAGAGCAGCTCACAAACTCCTTTTCCTTCCCCTCCCCACAACAGACACCTTGTGAGGCAGCTGGGGCTGAGAGAGCTCTAACAGAAATGGCTCTTTTTCAAGAAGAAGAAGAAGAGGAGGAGGAGGAGGAGGAGGAGATTGGATTTATACCCCGCCCTTCACTACCCAGAGGAGTCTCAGAGTGGCTTGCAAACTCCTTTTCCTTCCCCTCCCCACAACAGACACCCTGTGAGGTAGGTGGGGCTGAGACTGACAGAAACTGCTCTTTTTCAAGGACAGCTCTTATCAGAACTATGGCTTGCCCAAGGTCATCCAGCAGGTGCAGGCGGAGGAGTGGGGCATCAAACCCGGTTCTCCCAGATTAGAGTCTGCGCACTTAACCACGACGCCAAACTGGCTTTCACACCAAACTGGTAGATTCACTTCTGTAAGCCGACCAGTGTTTCATCTATGGAAGGAAGGCGGGAGACAAATTCCCCGAGCAAAGCAAACTAATGTACTGGCCTAAATGTCAAGGATCAAGGTCCAGCGTATAAGGATTCCAAGGTAATGTATGTGAAGCCCTTTGAATTCTGAGTGTGTTGCCTAAATGCCTAGTGATATCCTCCTTTCTAAGAGCTGCCAGACAGAAGCAGCTTCAGCAAAATACAGCTACACATCCGTCCGGGGCTAGGAGTGAGGTCATTCTCAGCCTGTATAGCACGTCCTGCCTCGGCATATTATTATTATTATTAATTTAGGATTTGTATCCCGCCCTCCCCAATGGGCTCAGGGCAGGTTCCTACAATGTAAATATAATACAACAAAATAAATACAACACAATTAAAACAACGTTGAAACAGGTAAAACATACAACTCTTATAAAAAGCCAGATGCCTCAGTGTTTGATAGTACTGGGAATAAGTTTCCCAGAGATCTGTACAATTTGGGATCTCAGGCTATAAAATAGGGGCCGACCCAAGCTGTAAATGGGGCCAACCCAAAGGGGGGGGGGACACGCCCGCTGCCTCAACCGAAAGCCCAGTGGAAGAGCTCCACCTTGCAGGCCCTGCAGAATTATAATAAATCCCGCAGGGCCCTGATCTCACTCAGGAGCTCATTCCACCAGGCAGGGGCCATTTGCAGGTGCTGGACTTGACCGTCCAAGCCTCCCCCCCCCCCCCCTCTGTTAAAAACCCTTTCTTAATTTTATTGAAATCTCCTGAGAAGGAGCCACTCTTACCCAAGTACCTTACCTTTGTGGAGGCAGCTCCTCAGTTCTGCCTTTACCTGGGGTGGCCAGGAAATTTACACCCTCGTAAGGATGTAGAACGAACAGCTGTAAAGCTTCCTTTCTCTGTGGGCTCTTGGCCAATTTACAGCACTGTTGTGACTTCATTTCGTCTACTTGTGGCTGTCCGTTTTGTTGTGAACTCTTCAGCCCCCCAGCAGCAGTAAATAAATAAGTAAAGCCAAAGGGACTTTTTCAAGCACTACAAAAACCCACCCAATGATAAGCAAAAGGGTTCTTGGAACCAATTCTGTGTAGCTCAAAAATTAAAAAAAACGGGGCAAGACTGCAGCTGGGGGCAAGGGGGTGCCTTGGCTCCGGAATCCAATTTAATTGCTCCTACTAGGAAAGACAGCCCAGGCTAACCCGATCTCACCAGATCCTGGAAGCTAAGCAGGGTGATCAGTATTTGGGTGGGAGACCATCAAGGGAGCCCAGGGTCACCACACAGAGGCAGGCAATGGCAACCACCTCTGTCCATCCCTAGCCTTGAAAACCCCATGAGGGTGTCACCGTTAAGTCAGCTGTGACTTCACGGCACTTTCTGCCACCACCACCACTGCTAGGAAAGAACTGAAGACACAGCTCTGGAATAAGCCCTGGAGTGTTCAAATGCAGAGGAAAGTTCCTGCCCACTCAAGGAACTACAAAGTCTTACCTGGAAGTGCTGGCTAAGGCCAACGAGGGACTGCATTGTGTGGCTGTAATACCCCAGGAGAAATTGCCCTCCTTCTGTGGGGAGCCCTTCGGTGCTGAGATAAACCTAGGAAGAAAAGGCAGGGGGCTGGTTGACTACAACGTCAGAAAAGAAGAAGCCAACAACTGACCCTCCTGGCTGTTTCCCCCTCACCTGCTTAGCATCCTCCCCGGAGGAAATCTCATTGTCCTGCACCCAGGCATAGACCACGTAGTCGTTCGCATGCCTGAAGGTCACCTGCAAGGGAGGTTTTTTTAAAAAAGTGGAGGTGAGCTTCTTGTGAAGTGGAAGGCTTTTCCTGTGGGGACAGCAGAGCGAGTGGGCCTGTTTCCCCACTCAAAGGTGGCAAAGGGTACGGACAAGATCACTGTTATCCCCCCCGTTACAGAGATCTCCTTGATCCTAGTCCCTGTCCTCTACATCACAGTGGCAGAACTGAAATCCAGGCCAAACCTCTCCTCACTATACCGGTGAATCTCTTTGGAAACAGGAATTTTGTCTATGACTTACATGTACCAATTCTCTCTGTGTGCCTCATTTTGTTACAGTCACAGGCAATGTTCCCTCTAAGGTGTGGAGTCCTGTGAGCAAAAATTCTACTTTGTGAGCTACTGGCATTAAAGTTGTGAGTGAGTGATCTGGCTACGGCATAAATTAACTTGCTCTGGAGCCCTCCTTCCTGAGCTAAGACAAAAGTGTGTGAGCCAGAGGCTAAAAAACTGTGAGCTAGCTCACACCAACTCAGCTTAGAGGGAACACTGGTCACAGGTCTCCCCCCCTGCCCCTTGGCTTTCCAGCTTTTGACACACACCGAGGCAGTCCATGGCGCTTTGCGTTTGTGCCCAAAAAACAAACAAACCCTAAGCAGAACATGGTTTTATTCTCTCACTCCTCTTTCCCAGTGCATTTTGTAAGTTACCCCTCTTCTTCCCTGCACTTGGATTTCCTCTTGGGTGTGTGTGTGTTTTTCACCTATTGCAAGAGCCATTTTGTGCTTGCCCCCACCACCGTGCCAGAGTCCGGAAGAGGCCCACAGCCTCAAAAAGGCTGGGAACTCCTGAACTGACTTCTCTGCAGCCGCCGATTCCAGAAGCCCCAATCGCATGAATGCTACAGTGCTACTTCCAGCGCGAGGTTACCTTGTACAGGCCGATCCAGTCCCAGGCACTGTGCTGAAATTCAGAAAGGGCCGAGTAGCTGACAATTGCATCCTGTTCCGTGCTCCAGTCACCCACGGGGTGCAGGGTGACCAACGGGATGGATACCAGCGGCTTCAGCTAGAGAGGGCAAGGAAAAAGCCAGGAGCCTCCGGTGGCAGCACTGCCCAGGACTATACCCACGCCCAGAACTCTCTGCTGCTGAGTAACAGTTCCCTGGGTGCTGCTGCTGGCAAGAAGGAAAAGGCAACCCAGTGATCCTTAATGCTAAGAAGGGACTGAGAAACAGCTCTCCAATTCCATTATGGCCTGCAAGCCACCCACACAGGCAACAGGCTGTAACAAAAGGCAGGACGGAACCCATTTGATGTGAAGAGTGGACTTAAGGGAATAAGCCTTCTCCCTGTAACTTGAAGAGATGGCTTTACAGAAGAAGAAGAAGAAGAGATTGGATTTATACCCCGCCCTTCACTACCCAAAGGTGTCTCAGAGCGGCTCACAGACTCCTTCCCCTTCCCCTCCCCACAACAGACATCCTGTGAGGGAGGTGGGGCTGAGAGAGCTCTGACAGAAGCTGCTCTTTTTCAAGGACAGCTCTTATCAGAACTATGGCTTGCCCAAGCCCATCCAGCCAGGTGCAAGTGGAGGAGTGGGGAATCAAACCCGGTTCTCCCAGATTAGAGTCCGCGCACTTAACCACTACACCAAACAGGCCAGAAACCATGCCTGGAAAGAGGACCCCTTAGCCTATTCGCCCCTCCTCTGGCCTAGAAAGGCAAGTCAATATTCACAGCCTGAGGGGGACAAACCTCAACCCCACCCCACCTACCTCCAGCCCAAAGGTCCCCGTCACGGGCTTGTGATCGCTGATGCTGTAGCTCATATGGCTGGCATAGCTGTGCATAGACATGGAAATGGGCTGCTTTTCCGGCACCTCCCCTGCTTCCGAAGCATAGGGCAGAAGGCTCTTCACCCTCCACAAAATCCGATCTGTCCAAGCGGGCTTCCGTTTCTTCCCACTACAAAAAAAAAAAAGAGCAAAGGGGAGGCAGCAAGAATGGACCGGTTTCTTACCCATGTCTCCTATCAGGCGCAGCAAAAGCGACAGAGGACGAAAGGCACTGCAGTGACAAAGCAGTTACAGGAAGCCACATTTGTGTTACACGTACAAAGCAGATCTCTAAGGGAGGAACAGAGAAGGGTTCTTTCCATCAACTGTGAATCAACATTAATCATCGGAGCAACTAGAGGGGAAAACAGCTTTTCCACCCACGGCAGGCTACTTGGGAAGTTGCTATGGGAGTGTCATCGGTACACAAAAGGCCACGTTCACCAAGTGCTTGGGGGAGGGTTGCCCACAATTAGGATAGTACACCTTGGATATTTCCCCCCTCCCCAGTTTTGGACACCGTGCTCGTCATCAGGAACATCAAGAGAATGGTTCTCTGTGGAGCGCTTTGGAGAGAGAGAAGCAAACGATTGGTCCCCAGACACCATCCTGGACCACATCCAAAAAGCTGTCAGGAAAGTATGCAAGGAGAACCGCCCACTGAATTCTTATCTCCTGAAGAGTCGACATCCTCACTCCCTCCCCACCTGAAGGGCTTGACAGGATTAAAGTTCTTTACCAAGCAACCAAACTTTAATGCCACTTGGTCCAAGGCAAGCAGAGCCCAGCTGACTCCACAGCATCCGGCAGAGAGGCAGACGGTGCCCTCCGGAAGCGTCGGGCAGCCCTCCTATCTCATCCTGCCCACCCAGGAGGCCCAGTGGAAATGCAAAAGTGCCACATCAGAAGTATGGGAAATACCTCTGAACAAACTGCACTGCAAAGGACAGGTGTCCTAAGGCACCAATTTCATGGTGTGTCTCCTGGGTGATGGTGGGGGTTTACTCCCCACTGCACATAAAGAGTGAGTGGCTCTTTTGCTGTCAGAACAGTCACGCCAACTTGCTACAATGAGGTTAGGTTTCTAGCGGCAGAGAAAAGAGTAGTAGAATCATCTCAGAAGCCAGAGATAGTCTAGCAGGCTACAGTTCCAGGTTTGGAAGAGAATCACAGGAGAGCTCCTTACTTAAACCAAAACAGCATCTTCTGCGCCCTGGAAATACAAACCCAATATTAACACAAACTGTCTACATTTCGTCCTCCATTTGGGACTCACTTGGCGCTGTTCGTCTTGAGGAGGCCAGCCCTGCCCCGGTTTTCCCCACAGGGCCCTTTCTTCTTGGGCCACATGGCCTACTGCTTTAGCCTCAAAGATCCATGAGCCAGATTCCACAATGGGGGATGCCCCACAAGCATTTACCTGGTGTCATACTCATTGGAGTAGAGGTCAAACTTGTAGGTGGGTTTGAACTGTAGAGGCCCCTCTCTGAATTCCTGAAGAAAGGCCTCTTTCTTCTTGGCCATATTTAGCTGAATAAACAAGAAAAGGTTGTTTAGGAATGCCAACTGCCCAGCTGGAGCAAATTACAGGTTACTGGCCTCTTTCTGTTGTCGTGGCGGGAGGGAAGAAGACACATAACAGCAGCAAAGAGGAACAGGCCAGACAGGTCCAAACACTCTCCCAGGCAGGAATCCCAAATAGATATGGATCGATAATAAGGTGACACCCGGCAGAGCAATGTAAGTGTATGAAAAAACTGCCATAAAGTCACGTAAAGTGGCTACAAGCATGGACGGCTTCAAAAGGGAATTAGATAAGCATATGGAACAGAGGTCCATCAGTGGCTATCAGCCACAAGGTATAGATAGGGACTCTGGGGCAAGTGATGCTCTGTCATCTTGGTGCTTGGGGGGGTCAACAGTGGGAGGGCTTCTAATGTCCTGGCCCCACTGGTGGACCTCCTGATGGCACTGGTATTTCTGGCCACTGTGTGATACAGAGTGTTGGACTGGACGGGCCTTTGGCCTGATCCAACATTGGCATCTCTTATGCTCTTATGTTCTCTTATGGTATGTAGACCAGTGTTCCCTCTAAGCTGAGTTAGTGTGAGCTAGCTCACAGTCTTTGAGCCTCTGGCTCACACATTTTTGTCTCAGCTTAGGAAGGATGGCTCCAGAGCAAACTAATTTATGCAAGTAGCCAAATCGCTCGATCACAACTTTAATGCCAGGGGCTCACAAAGTAGAATTTTTGCTCACAGGACTCCATAGCTTAGAGGGAGCATTGATGTAGACCTGCCCAGATTTACAACAAGCAATGGAGCATCTCCTGCCGGGAGAAGCCAGAAGAGGCAAGACAGAGGGAAGAACAGGGTGAGATATGCTTGGCATCTGCACGAGAACCGGGAGAACTTAAAGAGGCAGTACCTGATCTTTTTCCCACAGGAGGCTGAATCTGTTGTTGTTTATTGACTCTCGGATGAAATGCAACCCATAGTCTTCGATCCGGAAGTTTAAATCACCAAACCAGAAAAGAACGCTGCAGGGTTGGGAGGAGATTGAAAGAAACTGGAAAAATTGGATAGCTGACATGGCAGAGTTATGAATGAGGGAGGGGGCGGAATTTAGAGACAAAAACTGCAGATCTTCTTAATGCTCAAGTTCCTGATCAGCAGCACTGCTTTGAATTGCACTGTTTTGTTCAATACCTGAAACAATCACGGGAAGCGGCACCCAGCATCAATAACGGCACATTTAACTAAGCAATCAGGCTAACCACTCAGGGGGAGGAGAAAATGGAAGCTCTCTACACGGACAGAGGCACATGCCCTCCTGTCCCAATCACAAGAAGGTTCTTCATAGAGGAACTGAAGATCTATATTCATGCATTCTGCCCCTCGCAGGTCAAGAACAGTGATGGGGGGGGCAATTCACAAAGATTCCCCCCCCCACGAGGACTTTTTTCTATTTTTCCAATGGAAAAATTAGACGTTTTGGGGAGCCCTGAAAAAGCTATGCATTTTTTAAAAAAAAATATAATGAGTGATGTGCTGTTTAAAACAAAATTTTATTTGCTCAGAAGGTAGACTACGAAGGTATTTATGCAAAACAATCTACAGCATTACATAATGGCAAGCAGGGGACCTTATTTCCCTCCCCCAATTGTATCCCCAACTATTTCCTTCCTCTTGCAGCCACAGGGTCCACCCTTCCCTGCTTTCTTCTCCACCATTCGCACTCCCAACCTACCTTTATCAACCCCTCTCCCTGGTCTTTAGCTTCCCTACCAATCCCTCTCTTTTTCTTCTCTCTTACTCACCTACATACATTTTTTTGCTCTCTCAGCTCTATCTCCATCTTTCTCCTTTTCCTATTTCCTTCCTTCCCTCCCAGCCTCTGTCTCTCCCCCATTTGACTGACAGTAACAAAGGCATGGAGACCTTGGCAATACTACTGAGGTTGCAGAGAGAACACCAAAATGTCCACTGAGACCTCACAACAGAGTCTTGAGAGATTTTGGCAGCTATTCGTTTCTTAAAGCTACAGATGTTGCTTCTATTACATGGTGTGTTTTTTCAGAACTATCCTTTAAAAATACTTTAGGGGTTTTTTTCCTGCAAGCATGGGGTTTATCCCAAGTTTTAGGGAAGAAAAACTCATCTGTACATGGCCCCACTGTGTGGATTTTTTTGATCCACGCCCTGGAAACACTTGTCAGATATGTTGATCATTCCTGCATAAACAATGAAAGTACTGATAAGCTCTGCTTAAACAGAAGAAGTATACAATATTTTCAATGATATATTTGTTTAACTATAATTTTTATCCCGTTTTACTATGTATATGATATAGTTCAATGTCATCTTCATCGATACCTTTCTCCCCAGTGGTAACCCAATGGACTTAACATAATTCTTCTCTCCTCCATTTTCTCTAGAACAGGTATGTCCAACAGGTAGATCATGATCTATCAGTAGATCGTGGAGGGGTCAGAGGTAGATCACCAGCCCCACTTGGTCTCCTGGTTTGCTGAACAGGTGTTTGGGGTTTTTTGATGATTGTTTGGTGGTATTTATTGGTGCCAATATGAGGAATTCTTATTTTTACTTTTAGAACTGCACGTGTGGTTTTGGCATCATTCAGAGGTCTTCAGTTCCTGTTGATCTTTAATACTTTGGGACAGTGACAGTTTTGGACCAGATTCAGCCAGTGTTTATACTTTATTTTCATGGTAGTAGATCACCAGCACATTTGGCCGGAAAAAATAGATCACTACCTGTTCGAAGTTGGACATTCCTGGTATACATTGACGGTATTGCAATTTTTTTTAAAGCTCAGGCATACCCTTCTGTTACTAGAAGGGACAATTTGCTTCTTGGATTAATTACTGTAATGTAATCCTGAAAACTGGCCAGATGCTGTAGCCAGTTTCCCTAGAACACCCTGGCGAAATGTAGCAACCACTCACTCATGATCCAAGACACCAGGGACCTTTTCGCCTTCAAACTGCTGCATTTCCAGAATGTGTTCAAAGTCGTCCAGCCGTTGCTCCGCATTCTCCATGTGGGCTGGCAAATGGCAGTTCACAAAGCAGACCATGTGCCCGTAGAGAGACATACGAATGGAGACTGCCCCCTTGTTTCCCTGGAAGACATTAGAGACCTGGTTTAACTGCAATGTCCAATTTTGACTTTGTAAAACACAATTATCAGTCTCAACAGCAGTTTGACACTGTTTCAAGGGTGCAGTTGAATGTTTTTGCAAATTAACAGAACTGGTATCTTTGTAGGTCATTAATTCATAGGGCCACACCATTAGTCAGTGACTTGACAGCACATCACACACACACATACACACACACAACACAACACACTGAGAAGCAGACTTGCAAGCACTTGGGCCCAATAATGATACAAAAATTACACCGGATCCAGCAATTTACATAGCACAAGAAAAAGAAATATTGCTGTATACGTTCGTCAGGTTTTCAAGTAACAGTACTATTTTTTAATTTTTCAGGTATATCAAATAAATCAAAAAGACCGAAGTCCTCAAGAAAGAAGTACAAGGACGAACTTTCTCGGGCTTTTGTAGTCCGTTTCGAACAATATCTTTTTCAGACTTCAATTTATGTTGTCTGTAGTGTTTTACACTTCCAATCTTGACTCTGTCAGTGATGTATATAAAGTTTCAAAAGTGGCTACTCATAGCTTTACTGTTTAAAGACCTCCATCCGGATGATATGAAGACATATCAGTAGAGCTTTTCGTTACAATCCTGCACTGCCACACAGATGAAAGTCTGTACGATTTACAAATGCATCTCTCACGGTTTTAGAAACTACACTTCAGCAGATCCCTTGAGACAGGCAATACATTTTCAAAACAGATCAGCAAGTTCTGGATCTTGGCATTCGCCTGGCAGACATACACACAAGCAGCCAACTTAAACATCCCAAATAAAAAAGCAAAAACCTGGAGGTGTAAAACTCCCACAGTACTCAAGACAGCTCACCCAATATCCATACATGCCCGTGCGAGTGAACTGGCTTTGAATGTTCCGTATGAAGGGGACGTGGGCGTGCTTTGCAAAGATCAGGAGGAGGAGACCCTGCATTCGGATGGAAGAAACCTGCAAAAATAAAAATAAAATAAAACAACAGAGAAGCCAACCTGGAACAGGACAGAAGCTCAAGGCAAAAGGCAGGCCCGGTAACTCTGCACATTGGGCTACAAGCCTTGTGGGCCTCCTATGCCTAAAACAGGATAAAAATGGTTTAGGACAGTCTAAATTCTGTGCACAAGTAAAAGTGCTGATGTTCCTGGAAGCCTTCTAGGCTCTCGATCTTGCGAGCCGAACCTTCCGTTCGCCGGCTAACACCTTCCCCACGGGGGGTGGGGTTTGATGTGCCCACCCTCTCTAAGGAGTGGTACCCATTTTATCTACTCGCCGAAGCTTGTGACTAATGCTCTCTCTAAGCTGTGGAGTCTTGTGAGCAAAAATTCTACTTTGTGAGCTACTGGCATTAAAGTTGTGAGCGAGCGATTTGGCTACTGCGTAAATTAGCTTCCTCTGGGGCCATTCTTTATGAGCTAAGACAAAATGTGTGAGTCAGAGGTTAAAAAACTGTGAGCTAGCTCACACTAACTCATCTTAGAGGGACCACTGCTTGTGACCTGCTGTAATAGCTAAATGAATAATTTTTCAGAAATTGAAAGAATTAGCTGCACCACATATTGAAACATGGCCTGAACTAATGTTAGACCTTGTAGTCAAAAGAAAGAGTTGCTGTTAACAAGAAACAAATGTGAAATATCAAAACATTTCGTCTGAATGTGGATTTATTTGGATATCAGCATCTGCATTTATGCATTGCATACAGTATGAGATTAGCTGGTTGCTTTGGGGACTGTCTCAAATTGACCATTCACCTGCTTCATACCATGTTAACTGATGAAGCTGCCTTCTACTGAGTCAGATTGTAGTCCAGGGGTGGCCAAACTGTGGCTCAAGAGCCACATGTGGCTCTTTCACACATATTGTGCGGCTCCTGCTACAGTGGCTGGGTAAACAAAGGGCCGAGGCATGCCTCCCCAATTGGTCTTCCTTTCCCCAGCCAGTGCAGACATAGAAAGCAACTTGAACTTTAAATGCATTCTCAAAGCCACCCCCCCACCAGCCGGCTTGGAGAAGGCATTTGTCTATTTAAATCCCTTCTCCAAGCCAGGCTAGCCAGCAAGGGGGGGGGGCCTGGAGGACACAGTTAACATTAAAGTTTATTTATTTATTTTATTTATTTAGGTATTTTTACCCCGCCCTCCCCGCAAGCGAGCTCAGGGTGGCTTACAAGGGGCGAAAGCCCATACATAAAATCCAATAAAACAATAAAATCATAAGCAACAACACTACTAACAACAATAAAGTGCTTTCAGTATCAAGATGGTCTAGAGTGGTTATGATGGTCTCTTCCAACAGCCCCATTGGGGTACCACTGTCCAGTAGATCGTTCGTGCCAGTCCCCTGTTTATGGCTGGGCCATCAAGGGCCATTCCCGATCTCGATGTTATTGCCACCATTGGTGGTGGTGGCAGCGGAGGCCCCTACGTGAAAGCCTGGCGGAAGAGCTCCGTCTTGCAGGCCCTGCGGAACTGCATAAGGTCCCGCAGGGCCCTGATCTCCTCCGGGAGCTCATTCCACCAGGTAGGGGCCGCCACTGAAAAAGATCTAGCCCTTGTCGCAGCAAGCTTTACCTCCAGGGGACTTGGGATCACCAAACAGTTCTGGGTCCCCGACCAAAGTTGCTTTCTTTCCATCTCTCCCTCCCTCCCCCATCTATTTTTCTTTCCACTTTCTTTCTTTCCCCCTCTCTTTCTTCCCTCCCTCCCTATCTAAAGTTATCAATTTATAATTAAAAGCAAATTTGCATATTTTTCATTAAAACATGTAATATTTGTTTATGTCACAGCTCTCAAACATCTGACATTTATTCTATGTGGCTCTTATGTTAAGCCACCCCTGCCGTAGTCCATCAAGGCCAGTACTGTCTACTCAGGCCTACAGCGGCTCTCCAGGGTCTCAGGCAAAGGTCCTTCATATCACCGACTGCTCAGTCCTTTAGCTGGAGATTCTGGGGACTGAACCTGGGACCTTCTGCATGCCAAGCAGAGGCTCTGCCACTGAGCCATGGTCCCTCCCATTAGGAGGAACTTAAACTTTAACATGGTCAGTGTAGACTGATAAAAGTCCTAACATGAGGAGACAGGTGTGACCAGCCATAGCGATGGCCATTTATGGAGCCAAGGTCGGCTCACCCCAAGTTCTGGTAGGCTACTTGCTGGCAGCGACTCACCGCAGAGTTAAGATTGTTTATCTGAAAACAAGTAAGTAAAAATTTGCAGCGTTGCCTATTTCTAAAACATTAGAGAATAAATTAATAAATAGAATTGTTTTGAAAAAATTAGATGGGCAGGAAAACTTGAGGTTTCTATTGATGTAGGAAGAATGCATAAGGGTGAGGTGGTGGACATTAAACCATCTCGGCCTCCCCTGCCTTTGGTACCCCCCCAATGCCTCCTAGACACTGTTTATTTATTTATTTATTCAAATTTATAGCCCACCCTCCCCGCAAGTGGGCTCAGGGCGGCTCACAGATGGGTAACATATGCCAGTAGTTAAAACAGTAAAAACAAGATAAAACCAACATTTAAAACAACAACATAAAGTGCTCTAGATGTTACAAAAAGATCTTCAATCACGATAGTATCTTGGGGATGGTAGTCCCAATTCCGTGGCCTCCTGGGAATGTTAGTCTCAATTCAGGGGTATGGGTTCCACGCGGTATTATAATAACTTGTCACAGGGCCACTATATTTTAGGTACCTCCCACAATCTGATTATTTTTTCTTTTTTCTTTTTCTACAATACATTTTTATTGATTTTGGAATCTTGATAACAGGTTGTTCAACATACAAGCTGCGGTTATTGAGCAGTAGTGCAACAGATAGTGTAAATACATCGCAAATAGGAAACTACATGAACTTTTAACCTTGAATTTTAGGTTTCTAACTTTCTAACAACAATACCTTAACTCTCTTGCCAGTAGTACTTTGTAGAACTAATCAAGGAACGATGTTTGTGGATAAAAAGCATCAATGTATGTTTGAATTTTACCAAAGGTGTAAAGCATCCATTTCCTTAGGGGTATCATCAAATTGTTGTAGGTACTCTAGTACAGGAAACGAAATAGCCACAAGGGAGGAAGGAACAGGAATTTTGTCAAGTCGCGTAAAGTTATCCGAGAGTTTCGCCATGATGTATAAATCCCACAATTTCTTATGCCATTGGGAAATTGAGGGCGTCATTGACATTTTCCAGTGGGTGGCAATGACTGTCTTGGCTGCAAATAGCAGTATAGAGACCCTCTCCACCACTGAAGGAGCAGAGTCCTGAGCTACCCAACTGTTCAAAAACAAATTTTCCGGAGTGGGCGTAATGTCCATATTGTCAATTGATTTAATTTGTGATAGGACCTTCTCCCAAAAAGGTAGGATTTTGGGACAGGTTACCCAGCAATGCAGGTAGGTGCCTTTGATACCGCAGTTCTTCCAACATTTTGGATCGTGTGTGTCATTTGTGCCAGTTTATTTGGAGTGAGATAACAAATCTGATTATTTTTTATGATTTATTTTTTATTTATTAATTACATTTGCTAGTCCACCCTTCCCTACAAGTACGGCGCTGGGTGGCTTACAACAAAATAATACACAAATCTCAGATCAAAGTTAAAACAGCCCAATAAATACCAATACATAAAAACATCAGATATGAGATGACAAAAACGCAGCATATATAAGATGGCGGAAAGGACTCCAGGTCGCCAGCCTTACTAGAGGGAGGGGTTATGAGGAATGGGGACTTGTGTAAGAATGCCAAACGACACCCCCATCACTGTCCTCAACTGAAGGCCCGGCGGAACATCTCTGCCTTGCATGCCCTATGGAATGGTAACAACTCCTGCAGGGCATGGATGGGTCTTCCGGCAGAGCGTTCCGCCAGGCCTCTTAAAATGTCACAGGAGGTGTTGGATTACTCATGTTTAATGCCATCCTCTTTTAGTCACTTAATTGTTTAACTGTTTTTATAGCTTGGTTTTTATTGTTTTTATTATGTTGTGAGCTGCCCTGAGCCCATTCCTGGGGTAGGGCAGGATACAAGTTAAATAAATAAGCCCCCTGTTGGCCGTACGTCCAGAGATCTATGAGGAGAGGCTCCCTTGGTGCTGTGTCGCATTCAACCGGACCCTAGCTGCTGTATGGCGGGGGGGGGGGGGGGGGGGGCTCAGCATCTCTCCGCACAATTCTGTGCAGAAATTAACTGCCCTGCCAGAAAATCTTGCCAATCTTATCTACTTTAATAATTTCAAAAAGCCCACTGAGGAAATCCTTGATGTGCTCATATTCACTTAGAGAAAGGGTGTCTTTATTAATATACACAGCAAGAAACATTATTGCCCTAGCCCGGAAGTCATCACAACCACCTACAATCTCACAGTGGCATCAAAAACTATGGAAATTATACACTGTGGTGAAGCTCACAGATAATCTAGGTAACATTCTGAAGCCCTCTAGACAGTCCTATTTTTCCTCTATATGGTTAGCTATACCGGAATACTTGTTGTCTCAAGGGGAAATTCGTCAATTGGTAGTTGATCTTGGAATATGTTTTTATGTCTTACTAAGTGATTACACAGCTATAATTCAATATAGGTCAGATAGACTGATTGCTGTTTACTTACCCAGTGACCTGGTACATTGTTCTGTGTTTTGTTTTACGCATTGTATGTATTTTATTCTATTTGAACACACTGTATGTATGGTGTTGATTGTTATTTCTCGAAAAAATGTTAATTGATTTTTTTAAAGCCCACTGAGGCATGGCAGCCTTGGCCAGTGGGCAACCTCATGGTGCCCCCTGCCCCAGCCAGGAAGAAAAGAATGGTCTCAGTACAAAATGCAAGTTTTAACTTATCAATAGAAAAGCCACTTGGTTACCTTGATGTAGCTCAGAGGAGAGAGAATTGTCTCAAAGAAAATACTCCAGGGATCATCAAAAGCCAAGTCAGACAGGAAATTCACAATCTTGGAATTCACTTCCTGTAAACTGAAGTCACCAGGGTTACCCACATATTCTTTGCATATCATAAGGATAAAGACCACCCAACATTACTAGGCAGTCCTAGACACGTCAGCAACTGCCATACACATTTTTTTCCTACCTGTTTACCAACTTAAACAGACCGCCCCATAACTGATACCTACACCAAGCCCCACATAACAAAGGGATGATATGTGACATCACCACAAGATGGCAGAATTCAGCGACACTAAAATCTAGCACAACCCACACAGAATTTCCTGTACTCTTAAGATAACAAACAACTCCATAACCTTTCTGGGCCCAGCACCAATGTTCCCTCTAAGCTGTGGAGATTTGTGTGCAAAAATTCTACTTTGGGAGCTCCTGGCATTAAAGTTGTGAGTGAGCGATTTGGTACTGCATAAATTAGTTTGCTCTGGAGTCATCCTTCCTGAGCTAAAGACAAAAATGTGTGCGCTGGAGGCTGAAATACTGTCTCATGCTAACTCAGCACTATTATGAATGACAGCTCCTTTCTTTCTAAGCCCCCTCCATCCATGCCTCAGTTGCCCCTCAAGCAGCATGGTCTTCGCACAGAAGCCTGGAAAATGTGGAAGGGTGTACTTTGGGCAGGTGTTCATGCACACAGTGAACTGCAGTCTCTTTTCTCAGTTTCACAGGAAGTGCAACCAGATGAGCTCCCTGGGCACCCCAAAAACTGGCGACAGAAGCCCGGAGTCTTATTCCCTAATACTTACCCAACAATGTACATGTCCACTGCCAGTCCTTGCAAATTGAGCTGAAGTAATGAGGTAACATCAGGAGGAGGAGAAGCTGTGCCCACATTCCAGGTTACCAAGTGCAACCTTCCAAGGACAAAACACAACAAGAGACAGCGATGCTAAAACGCAAACACAGATGCAACCACCTTCCTCCTGCCTTGTTTGCAGGCCTTATCTGTAGTCTTGCCCTAAAACTGTTCTGCAGCTAGCTAAGGAATATGGCCCAGTGTCTTGGGGCTTTTCCTGTTTCCCCCCATACAACTCAGAAATGCTTCATATCTGTTGTGCCCAAGACTTCCTCCTGGATCTCATCATCTGAACTGACATCCTCCACACAAGCCAAGAGAATTGTGTAATTTGCTGCTGCAGGTGAAGGTACCTGCTGGTAGCGTTACTCATGTTGTTTAGGCAGAAGTGGAAATCTGGTAGCCCTCCACACCAAGCAACATGATGGATGGCAAGTCCCAAACTGCCTTTCTGGAGTCCAAAGATACCACGTCCCCCCCCAACCCGGAGGAGTCTGTGTCCAGAAAGGTTCTTGGTTATGTTCAGACAAGAGTCTTTTGTGAATTTTCCCTTATGTAAAATTAAGTAGCATAAATTAAGAGCTAAAACTATGGCCTGGCTGAAAGGCAAGGTCCAACAAGGAAAATGCACCTTTTGTTGCTAAACGCAAGTCCTCAACTTGCGTCACAAGGATAAGTGCTGCATTCTCCAAGGTTTAATGCCATTAAGGCCCCAAGAATTAAGAAAAGCTGTTGACTGAATCCAGTCACATGCTTCTACTAGCATACCGCAGCCGCTTAATCTCTGGTTTTCGGATGCATTCCCAGAGTAGGACAGCCAAGAGCCCTTCTGCTAGCTCTAAACACTTATATTTGAAAAGTGGCCACTCATAAACTGACGGGCACATGCACTGGATAATCTGTTTCTGACTAGTGTTTGGAACTGTGCAACAGCACCTGTTACAAACAACTACTGGCATTTAGCATGCCTCAGTTTTTATCGTTGTCACAGAGAAAACACGGAGCACACCATTATGCACAACTTAAGTTTCCAGAGTGTTCCCCATCCCCAATAGGAAGTCTTTCCAAGGGTCATTCTTCAGGCTCAGCACCACTAAATGCAGCAGCTAGGAAGCAGATATGCCAGGCAAGTACCCTCACATAAGGGCATGTCTACTTAAGTCAGGGTTAGCCTGGCGGGGTTTAGCAACATTGCAACTAAAGAACTATGGGAAGCAACATCTGTGCAGCCGTGCACGCCTCCCTCTCTGTTTCTGAAGCCCCAGCAAGAAGGGGTACAGGTCTCAGGTGGCACAACAGGAAGCCCTCTCCCCACCAATCCACTGGCAATCACTATTCCCCTTGCTAAAAAGGGACCCCTGTATCTGGGCAGCCTCTCCAACCTGAGGCCATCAAGCAAAGTTGCCCTCCGCATGGCTGAGATCTTGGCTGCTTCCTTCCTTCTTCCCAGGTGGGCATTTGTATTTATGAGCCATTGTCAGTCATGCTTTTATGACTGGGATCACTGGCACGCCTGGTCCTGCTTCCTTCCACTTGAGCCTCACACAACAATCTCGCGAGGTGGGCTCGAAGCGCCAGTGTGGACAAGCAGTGGGGGGCAAGAGGCTCAGCCCCACCGCTGCCGCCACCCGTTTTGCCATACAGCAGAGCGAATGGCCTGTCAACGAGGCTGTCGTCGTGAGAAGCAGAGGGCGAATGGCGCGCCAGAGCGGCCCGGGAGCGCCCCAGGCAGGCGGCGAGGCTGAGCAGCATCTCTACGGCCAAGCGATCTCCGCCTCCCTCGTTTCAACCTCACAACCACTTAGCGAGGTAGTGAGGCACCGGCGTAGGGCTTGGTTCCCCCCGCCCTCTGCGCGCCCTCAGAGGCGCTCTTGTCCTCCGCAATCGACGGGCGCAGACACACGGGGAGCTCCCCTACCCAGCCCTGCAGCGTGCATGTGGAAGCCGCCGCCGCCTCACCTCAGGCGTTTCCGCCCAGCCGTCGCAGCTCCCCCTTCTGGCTCCATCCCCGGGCCGGAGGCAGAGCCGTGAAAAATGAGCCGCCGCCAGCGAAGGTCTCTCCGGCCAGCCGGGGACTCGGCTCACGTGACCCCCCCCCAACCAACCAGAGAAAAGCCGATGAGGCGCGCCGCGGGATTGGCTGAGACGCTGGCTCCCCCTCCACCTGACGCAGACAGCGCTGCAAGGGGGGGATGAAGGCGCAGGCGCAGATAGGTGGGGGACCCCGACCGGAGCAAAGCGAAATCTCCGCTCCCCGCAAGGTTGGGGCTTCGGGGAGCCGCTTGGGGCTGCGTGCGCTTGTTCGGGACGCGACGGCACGACGCGACGCGACGCGGGGTCCCCCCTCCCACCCACCCCACACAGAGGCGGACGGCAGGCTGCTTTGCTCTATGATTTTATTGGAGTGGCTTCCAATAGGCCAGTATTGGAAGGTCAGGAGACAGAAAAGGCACAAACACACATGAAAAACAAGGAGATCAGCTAATCAAGGCGACGAAGGATATGCATTTCAGAACCAACCCCCCCCCCTCCCCCGGGCCTCCTCTCTCTGTCCCCGGAACTAACAGAGCCGGGCGGAGAGGGGGCACAGGACCACCACCCCCTTCCCAGCAGCTCTGGGATGCGGGATTCTGTATTATGAAGCCAATGCAAAACATTATACAGCGCTTGAGCAGCAGCAGGTGCTACGGAGGGGGGCAGGGAGAAGGGCTCAGATGCAGCTCAGAGGGGGGGGGAGGAACAAACAGAGCGGAAGGTCTTTGCATTCTTCTTGCTCTTACCGCGAACACGGGAAAGCTTGGAGTTTTTAATAAGAGCTTGTACCTTCACAACCCAGAATCTTTCTGGATTTCTCAACCCCCCCCCCCCCACAATCCCACTTTTTTTAAAATGTCACAGTCTGTTTCCACGGAGACAGTGTCACCAGAAAGCAAGCCTCCCTTGTTTTGTAAGAACAGCTGTGAAAACAGTCTCAAGCATCAGAATCCTACCTACAATTCATTAGTCAATAAATATATATAATATATACTTTTTTTGTTGTTTTAATCCCCAGCTTTTTTTCATTACAAGAAGATTAGCCTGACGGCTCACTTGCTCTGGAGGAAAAGAAATAAGGAGCACCTTTGCTTGTTCCTGGGCCAAAACAGCTTTGCCTTGACTGCAGGGCTTCTCTTTTAGAGAGCAAAAAAACAAAACAGAACAGATCAGCCTCCTAAAAAAAAAAATCAACGTTCACACGCATACGCAAAAGCCCTGCATGGTCACCGAGAAAGCATCTACTGAAAAGTTTGCTTATTGCACTTGGTCATCAGTAAGGCAAAAGAATGAACAACAGGGATAAAAACTGCCTCCTCCAAAGCAGTGGGGCCCCCCTTCCCGTCTTCAAAAGCAGAGCTGCAGAGCTTTAACCTACATTCGCACCAAGTCCTTCCCCCTCCCACTGATTTTCCCAAGCAGATGGAGCCAGTAACAGCCAGCCATGGGGTGGGGGGGAGGGGAAGACTACTCTCTCTGAGATGCAGCTCGCTTTGGAGAGAAAGGCGGCCTTGCTTGCAGAGTTGCTGCCTCACAGGAAGCCACAGGGACCCCAAGCTAGTTGGGTTTCTACTGCCCACTTCCGGAATCAAGCCAGCAGAGTTCCTTCAGTTCCATTCTGCTCATCTGATTGTCTAAAACGGATACAAGAAGAGGTGGAGTCTGGTCTTCACGTCCAGCAGCAAAGAGCTTGGCCAGCTTGTAAATAGGACCTGTGATTTCTATTTTTTTTTTTTTAATACTCTGCAAAGGCAGATAAATCCCCTTTCCACATTGCCTCCCCTTCTCAGGGTCAGCCCTCTTTCTGCTTAAGGAACGGTACACGGGTACCTGAGCAGGACCTACAGAAAAAGAACTGAATTTGGCTTGCACAATTTGTTGGTGGTCCAATGAAAGTCCATTTTTCCCTTATCAACTGTAATAAAGGACGAGAAAAGCAAACGTTTTCACAACTATTTTAAGGGGTCGCTCTGCTATTGAAACTCACAAACCCCAAAGCAGCAAACAGGGGGCTCCAAAACCACAATGACCCGGTGTGCAGTAGAACAGAGGCAAGCAGTAAGGGAGCACACACACCCCACACACTCCCATGTTTCAAGAGCTCTTGGGGTAGCAGCAACACCTTGTACCTGGAGAACAAGAACCCTGCACATCATTTTGGGGATCCTATGGAACAGCAGTCATTGCAACTCTAATACTGAGTTCCCCTCTCCATAAAATGACTGAAGGAAGATGAGGAGCTGAAGAGAAACAAAAAAGGCAGCAGAGTTTATCCCAAATGCTTCAAAGGAAAATGATATGTACACAGAGGAATCTAAATCACGTCACAAAACTAGTTTCAGCTAAAAATGTCACGTAGAAATCAAAAGAAGGGCCACATAGAAACTGGTCTGAACACTGCAGGAGAAGGTGAAGTCACAGGTGTGGCTGTCCCCACGGCGCAGCCTCCTTCCCAGGAGCCAGTGCTGGAGTGCTCAGGACCGAACGACTGTCTATTTGCTCACAATATTAAAGGGGCAACTAGAGTTAGCTAGGGGAGATTGGAAGTTGCCTGCCAACTGGATAGTGGACAACTTGATCCAGAGATGGTCCATCGGTCAAGAAGATAGAATTCTTGGGCCTTCCTGCTGACGTTTGCAACTGGAGGAGAAAGACAAAAAGTTAAGGTCAGGGCTCGTGTCTCCAAAAGGGAAGTACTGTGGGCTGTGAACAGCGGAACTTGCATATCGATATGCCACCTTTTCAGAGACCAGCTCACACAATTAACGAGAATCATAAAAACAGGGGCCATTGAAATTAACCACCGCTTAAAAAGCAGTAAATAAAAACACATAAGCATAAAAAGCACATAAAATGCCGAGGCAGCCTAAATAATCCTCGTACGTTCTCACGCCAGAAGCAGACTGTAAAAACGGTTTATTCAGATCAGTCACCTAGTTGAAAGCCTGGATAAAAACAAATGTTTCGGACTCACGCCCGAAAGGGTAGCCAGCCAGTAAAATTCAAGAGGGGGCAGCATTCCACAGGAGAGGTGCCCCTACTGAAAATACCTGGTTGCCAGCATTCCCTCTAAGCTGAGTTAGTGCGAGCTAGCTCACAGTTTTTTAGCCTCCAGCTCACACATTTTTGTCTTAGCTCAGGAAGGATTTCTCCAGAGCAAACTAATTTATGCAGTAGCCAAATCGCTCACTCACAACTTTAATGCCAGTAGCTCACAAAGTAGAAGCGTTGCTCACAAGACTCCACCGCTTAGAGGGAACATTGCTGGTCGCCACCCACCCCACTGCTGCGGACAAGGGCAGAGATCATGGCTTGTGTGGAGGCCCTCGACTGGTAAAGCGGGACAGCCCAGAAGGAGGCACCCCTTGAGGCATTTTAAACTGTTAATCAGCAAGGCCACGGATGGTGCAGTTCGTTGGTTGTGTGTGTGTGTGGGGGGGGGTGTTTTTAAAAGCTCACCTCCCCGCAAGACTTATTTCAAAATTAAAGGAATGGTGGTTTTGCTTTCTGAGATGAGAAAAAAACCATATCAGTACTGCACATCACAGAACCACAGAGGGACCAAAGGCACAACCTCCTTCCATCCTTTGCTCAGTGGCAAGACACCCGTCCTCAGCCTCTGGAATCTACCCAGAGGTAGCTGCTGCACCCAAAGAATTCATTGCAGAACAACTGGTATAACATAAGAGCTCCCTTTACCATTTAAAGTTAAAGCTAACTGACTTAATTGTGGAAATTGTGGAAACCAGGGAGGATTGTGAGGCACTCCCAAAGGGATCTGTTGAGGATGGGCGAGTGGGCGTCAACGTGGCAAATGGGGTTCAATGTGGCCAAGTGGGGAAGTGATGCACATTGGAGCAAAAAATCCTAACTATAAATACACGCTGATGGGGTCTGAACTGGCAAAGAGAGATCTTGGAGTCGTAGTAGATAACTCAATGAAAATGTCAAGACAGTGTGTGACTGCAATTAAAAAGGCCAACGCTATGCTGGGGATTATTAGGAAGGGAATTGAAAACAAATCAGCCAGTATCATAATGCCCCTGTATAAATCGATGGTACGTCCTCATTTGGAGTACTGTGTACAGTTCTGGTGACCACACCTCAAAAAGGATATTATAGCATTGGGAAAAGTGCAGAAAAGGGCAACTAGAATGATAAAAGGGTTGGAACACTTTCCCTATGAAGAAAGGTTAAAGCGCTTGGGGCTCTTTAACTTGGAGAAACGACGGCTGAGGGATGACACGATCGAGGTTTATAAGATTATGCCTGGGATAGAGCAGGTCGAGAAAAAAGTACTTTTCTCCCTTTCTCACAATACAAGAACTTGTGGGCACTCCATTAAATTGCTGAGCAGTCGGGTTAGAACAGATAAAAGTACTTCTTCACCCAAAGAGTGATTAATGCATGGAATCCACTGCCACAGGAGGTGGCGGCGGCTACAAGCATGGACAGCTTCAAGAGGGAACTGGATAAACATATGGAGCAGAGGTCCATCAGTGGCTATTAGCCACAAGGTATAGATAGGAACTCACAGGCTGGGGCAGGTGTTCTTGGTGCTTGGGGGGGGGGGGGAGGCAACAGTGGGAGGGCTTCTGGTGTCCTGGCCCCACTGCTGGACTTTTCAATGGCACCTGGTGGTTTTGGCCACTGTGTGACAGAGTGTTGGACTAGATGGGCCATTGGCCTGATCCAACATGGGCTTCTCTTATGTTCTCTAATGTTCTTATGAAACGGTCTGCATCTTATTTCATTCCCCAAGTTGGTCTGAACTGCCTCCTTTTCTCGGTTCAGATGGCAAGCCCGGAAAACACTCTGGGTACCTACTGAACACAAAGAGGAATCCACACTAGTCATCCGTTGCAGCCGACGTGCCTTTCAGGGGATCCTTCTCTCTCATCTGCAGCAGGACAAAAAAAGAAAAGAAAAAAGAGTGCTCTTTGGTGCTCTGCGAAACAGGGATGAGGAATGACATCACCTTCCTGCGGCCAGCGAGGGAGACGGAAGCAGATCTCTGACCGCAAGCCGTCTCAGCAAGGTCTTGCTCCATGTGCAAGCGATGCCCTGTCCAACAGGCAGGAGGCCCATGGAGTGAGAGCTCTTTTGCTCTTGGGGGGTGCAGAGAGCCCAAAGGAAGTTCACCATCCCACTGAGGCTCGTGCTGGGATGCAAAAGCCTCAGCAGCCAGTCCCTCGGTCTGCCCGCGTGCAACTCACCTCGTCCAGCTGCCTCTTGGTGTCATCCTCCATCCTGCGAATATCTTCCATCGTCAGGTCAACCCATTTATCAAGCCAGCAGAATAGCTGTCGGTGGAAATTTGTAAAAAGCCGCCTTTCTTGCTGCGAAAGAAACAAGGGAGCTTTGAGACTTGGCATGAGGTCATCAGAACATGCGAAGAGCCCTGCTGGATCAGACCAATCGTCCATCTACTCCAGCATCCTGTCACACACAGTGGCAAACCGGTTCCTCTGGAGGGCCGACAACAGGGCATGGAGGCTAAGACGCTCCCCTGATGTTATCTCCTGGCTCTGGTATTCAGAGGCTTGGTGCCGCTGAATGTGGATTCTTCAGTCACCATCGCTAGAAGCCACTGGTAGACCTCTCCTCCATGAATCTAGCTAATCCCCTTTGAAAGCTGTCTATTCCTGCGGCCATCGCTACATCCCCTGGCAGCGAATTCTACATTTTAATCACTCTCTGTGTAATGCGGTATTTCCTTTTGTCTGTCCTGAAATCTACCCATCTGCTTCATGGGATGCCCTTGAGCTCCAGTATTTTGGGAGAGGGATAAAAATTGCTCTTTGTCAACTCCCTCCACCCCATGCATGATTTTATAAACCTCTATGATGTCCAGTGTTCCCTCTAAGCTGAGTCAGGTCACAGATTTTTGTCCTCGCTCACAGATTTTTGTCCTCGCTCAGGAAGGATGGCTCCAGAGCAGACGAATCTATGCAGCAGACAAATCGCTCACTTACAACTTTAATCCCGGTAGCTCATAAAGTAGAATTTTTGCTCACAGGACTCCACAGCTTAAAGGGAGCATTGATCATGTCCAGTGTTCCCTCTAAGCTGAGTGAGCTAGCTCAGTTTTTTAGCCTCCGGCTCACGCATTTCTATCTTAGCTCAGGAAGGATGGCTTCCAGAGCAAACTGATGGATGCAGCAACCAACTCACTCGCTCACAGCTTTAATGCCAGTAGCTCACAAAGTAGAATTTTTGCTCACAAGACTCCACAGCTTAAAGGGAGCATTGATCATGTCCCCCCTTAGTCTTCTCTTTTCTAAACAGAAAAGTCCCAGACCCATAGAGAAGGTGCTCCAGCCCCCTAATCATCTTGGTCGCCCTCCTCTGTACTCTTCCCAGCTCTGCAGTGTCCTTTTCGAGAGAACAGTGACCAGAACTGTACACAGTATTCCAAATGAGGCCACACTGTCAATCTATGCAGGGGCATTATAATATCAGCCGTTTTATGCTCCTTCCCTTTCCTAATAATCCCTAACAGAGAGTTTGCCTTTTTCACTGCTGCAACACACTGGGGCTGACACATCCAAGGAACAACAAATCGTGATGGGACCAGACGGAGTCATGATATGCAGGAGGCAGTTTGCTAGAGCGGAGAGAACAGGCCCTGGACCCTCCAGAGCATGGAGTTTCTGGCGGCTTCCTTCAGCGGCCTTGGCTGACCACTCTGAGACCTTGCCATCGCAGCCGAGAAGGTGAGAACAAGAGGCAGAAACATTCCCACACGGTGGCCTGTTGCCTGTCACACCATCAAAAGGTTCTCAATCGAGGTGGCGTCCTTGCAGAGCACTGGGGCTCCAGTCTGCCATGATGCTGCCCTTGCATCAGTCAGAGGCTGACTTCCAAGGCTGGCATTTGAACCTGGACTGTCTGGGATGTGTGAGAGAGAGCAACAGGTGCATTTCTCCCTGTGAAGAAATGCATTTTCTCCTGGGAAGGTGGCAAGGAGCAAAGCCTCCAAGTTGCGTTTTAACAGGTTTTTTGCTAGGCAGAGGTGAGAGTCAGTTTGCTTCTACCTCAGCCCACCTTCATACAAATGCTAATGGGTCTAGACCGATGCTCCTTCTAAGCTGTAGGGTCTTGTGAGCAAAAATTCTACTTTGTGAGCTACTGGCATTAAAGTTGTGAGTGAGCAATTTGGCTCCTGCATAAATTAGTTTGCTCTGGAGCCATCCTCCCTGAGCCAAGACAAAAATCAGTGAGCTGGGGGCTAATGAACTGTGAGCTAGCTCACACTAACTCAGCTTAGAGGGAACACTGGTCTAGACAAAAGGGATGGTCAAGTCCGTCTGTCCCCCTTCAGGTAGGAAACAGAGACTTGGGGATGTCAAATTCTAGAGAGGCTTGAGGAAGGGACTTCTTGGAGATGACAGGAAAAGCTTCCTTGACCTGGGCTGACCGGGGTCAAGGGGGTGGAGTACCAGAGATCATAAAATCTCAGTGCAAGAGGAAGACACTATCTTTTCCTTGGGTACTGCAACCAGGAGCACACACAGACTTCTCTGCAAACAGGCAGCCATTGACTATGTGCTCAACTGGGAGAGTGGGAGCCAGCTTTTAAGATCATGGTAGCTCTGTAGAGAGCTAGAACATCTAAGCTACAGAGCCTGCCCGACATTTTAACAGCTGATAGGGCACATATAGAGAAAAGGGCAGAGGATTTGCGTTTTGACCAAGTTCTCCTTGCTCAATTTGGTGCAGTGTTAAAAATATGCTTGTAAGCATTTTTTAAATAAATACTTTATAACTTTTGATGCTGGACCTCCACCGTCTCGAACACACTATCTGAAGAGGGGATCCCAGGAGGGAGGGAGGCAGTTGGCAAGCGGCTATTCCTCCAAGGGCGCCCGCCCAAGGCATTAATTTGTCCCCGCAATGACCAGGCTCTGGGCAGTGGGAGACAATGAGGCAAGGCCTCTGAGCTTGGAAAGAGAAGCTGGGAGTCCTGATCCTCCCAGTGGGAAATTCCAGCAGCAATCAGGTGGTGGCGGCAGGCTACCTGAGAGTGGAAGCCCCTCCAGGGAGCTGGGAACCCCTAGGAGGGCAGGGCAGCTGCACGTTCTGCCACACTCTCTCTGTGACTTGCTCCTGGAACACCAACTGTAAAGGGCCCCATGGTCAGAATGCTGTACTTTCAAGTTTTACTGGCTTAAAATAGAGCAAGGGCTATCCTGATTTAGATGGGAGCCGTATGCTCAGGATTAGCTGGCGCCACAGTTTTACTAAGGCTGCTCTTGCCATGAGGAGGGTAATGATACTCTCATTCATTCACCCTTCAGCAGCCAGTTGCCGCAACTGCTGCTTAATCATTTCTTGGACACCTTGGGGAGGGCCGCAAAAACGCTAAGTGATTAAAAAAATCTTTTCCTTGCCCTGCACAGATTATTCTCATGCAGGAAAAGGAAAGGGCCAAACAAAGGGTTGGGCCACCTCACCCACCTTTTCCCGTTAAGTACCACTGTTGCATCTTCACTCACCTTCTGTATAAAGTTCTCAACTTTGTTCTGCAGCCCCCACCACTTGAATTTGACTGTTACTAGCTTGTAAGCACACATGTACGGACAGTCTGACTTGAGGATCTCCTTCTGCAAACAGACACAAGCCTTCAGAACAGGATCCCTCGATTAAGTGACCCAACCTACTATGCACGACCATCTAACATGGCATAATCCTCTTTGGGTTGTCCTTAACCTGCCACGGAAGCAGCC